GGTTTGGCAACAGCTTTAAAGCATCGACCCACCTCAATCCAAGCCCACTTACTTGTATTGCAAGATGTTCATCAGCAAATTAAGTAGTAAAAAGCTAAAAAGTTGCATTGTTGCAAGAGTTGTCTTGTCAACGGAGTTTGCAAATTGAAATCTCTTGTTAAGATTGTAACTTCAGATCTCATGCTTAATAAGTACCCCCCCCCCCAAAAAAAAAAGATTGAACTCAGAACTTCTCTTCCGTCCACAACTGCAAATCCATGCAGGCAAATGAAGAATGCCACCAAAGTCAGACCAGATGATGCCATGATGGGGTCATGCATGTTTTCAAGTCTGGACATTCCAAACTTTGAGCTTTCCAGTTTGCTAATTGCTATCCATCCAAGCCAAGCCACAGGTAAGATGAACAGAAGCTGCTATAAGCATAAAGAAAAAGTTCTGTGGCTCAAGAACCAAATCGATTCGAATCCCGACCTAAATCCTTTACCCCCCTATATTCCTCTAACTCCGGCCACTAAAGTTAAACTAAATCATAACAATTCAATTGTGAAGAGGCAGTCAAAACTCAAAACTGAAAAGCCGGGATAGCCACTGACACATGAACAATTGTGAAGATATAATTTTGAAGCACAACTTTGGAAGGAAAGGATGACGCAAGAGACCTCTTTGATCCTTTGAAAAGTTGTGCAGTGATAAATATCTCTCTTTTCCCATTATTTTCATACTCAGTTGATCTAATCAACCACCAAAGGTCCAAAGCAAAACACAGTAAAGAAAGGGGGAATAACATTTACCTTCTAAGGCGCTTCTAGCTATACAGATTGTGATGTGACCTATTCCCAGTGAAGAAAGCCACAGGAGCTAAAGAAAATTTCCTCGAGAGACGATATGGAGAGACTGTTAGAATTTAGAAACTTAGGATTTGACGAATTTCCCCATAATGACTATGGTACTGTGAAGTGTGAACTACTCATCTATTATTGTATTAGTATTACTAAATTCTGTGTTAAAACTCCAAGCAATTAATGGCTGGTTCTGTAATTCAGGGTCCTGCTTTCCCTACCTAGTTCCTACAACTACAATAATGGCGTGGTTGGTGGGCTCTCTATCCTTAATAATGGGGTACCCCCTCCAGTACTCCACTATTGTTCTTACTCCAGAGAGCACCAGCACCTTACTTGAGAGTAACTCTCCAGCTGGGTACGTAGTTCAATTTTAACTATTTCTCAGAGTCTCAGGACTTCAATTATTGTCATGACTTTGTCTAATGAATCTTTTATGAATTTTGTATCGTGGTTTTAGACTTTTAGCTAAGGAAGACACTGTACATATCTGCACGGCCTTTGATGAAGATCTTGGAATCAGCCATTCAGCCCAGCCAAAAAGAGATGCAGTTCTGTTCTGGGTATTACAAATACAATATCATATGCTCAAAGGACACTTTATGTAAAGGAATAAAGGATGTGAGGTAGGCCTGTAATTATTTATACTTGTTGGTTTTTTTCGAGCCGGGTTAGTTGGGGTTTGCTTTAGTTTGTCAAACCGCGTTTTTTATTTTTTGTTGATATTTTTACAAGCTAAATGCTGTTCCAGACTTCCAGTTAAACCGGTAATAGGTGACCCAGCAGACTTCAATTCAATTCTCCCCAACCCCTACCCCTTGATCCCCTTCCCCCATTATGTCTATAAACGGCAACGGGCAGGTTTGGGGCAGGGCACCCTTTCTTAGGGACAAGAGAATCCTCAAATTTTTTTAAAAATAGATCAAATATTTTAGGGGTATTTTAAAAATGATATTATATAGAAATTGGATTATGGGATCCTAAAATTTTAGCAATTTGAGGAAAATTTAGAAGAATATTGAAAATTATAAAGTAATAATAAACTTAGAGGTATTTTAATAATTTATCATCGGATTCAAAGAATTATATGCAAACCCTACCCCAATATGGGGCAAAAATATTTTCCCCCATCCCCACCCCTTGTAGCCTAAGATGAGTTCGGATCTCCTACTCACAATAACCTTACCTATGCCTACCCACCCCTCATTACAGTTGTACATTGAGAACATCTCCCATGTTTGCATGTTATCATTCATGGGGAGATGTTCCCAAAGATGTATTTGATTGTAATACAAATACAAATATGTACTTCCCATAAATACTCTCTTTCCTGTTCAAAAATGCAAAGTATAACCCGTTTTTGTATTCTTCATGTTTGTTTGAGACGGCCCAAAACATGGGCCTTAAATTTTTGGTTAAATACATCAATTATTAAAGAGTACAAATTTGTTGTACTCTTCTCATAATACAAAGATGTCAGAAAAAACATTTTTCACATCTTAATCATTACGTTTTTGTATGGCAACCAAATGCTTAAAAATGCAAACCGAGATGCACAATTACCCTGGTTCAAAGTTTGTACCGCAAACAAACTCAGCCCAATATACAAATGTAGTGTCGTGGGTAGGATTCTAGTGGGAAGGAGATATGAATTGGTTTGAATTGAAAAAAAGCAAAAAAGCTTTCCCTAATCATGTGACGTATAAAGCTCACTTGGCTTAACACACTTGAAAGCGGATCATTTAGTACCGTACCGCAGCCTGAGGAATAGCCACAGCAAATATTTTATGGTGACGGCTTTTTGACCGAATATTCTGTTGTCCCTCTTTTAAACCCAAGATAAGCAATCAAGCGACGCCAAAAGCGTCATAAATGAGATGACATATGTTTATAGATAGCCCAATCCCATCAACCTTTCTTTTGCACATTTAACAGGCCACTACCGGACCATCCTTCTGTCCCTTTTAATTCTCTACTTGTCCACTTCTTACCCTTCTCTACCTTTGTAAATTAAAAATGCAATATTTGTTGTTAAATATACAGATTGTATCTGTTCATGGGCTGGGTTTTAAGTTCGGCTTTATACTATTTCATAATCGGGTTTTGGGCCGGGTCCATTCAATTTATTCAACCCTATATAATTTGATACAAGGCTTAAATGATTAGTATTGTTATATCAAGTTCAGTTCTGAATTGGTATAGACAGATACTGATTGCAGCTTTTGATACAACGTGTATTGCTTTTGTTAGGATAGGATCCTGACATGTGGCAACCAGGTATTGTTATATCTACAATCCACTACCACCAGGTAAATGGCTTTATCATTTTCTAAGAAGCTAGACATGTGGCAATTTCTGAAAAATTCCTGTTCAAGTCCACAATCCATTGTCAAGTTATAGCTCCCCACCATTCATACACATGACATACTCATTTTCTTGAAAAGCTAGACCCATAACCTATTATTACCATTTTCAATCAATTCCTAAAAAAATACAGAAAATACAAAAGTGGTTATCTACAATCACTTCTCCCTACATTCTATCAATCTTAGTTAATCATACACTCTATGTATCATAACAAAAAAGAAAACTATCAATATTTTAATAATTATTGAAAAACTATTTTTTGAAATAAATATTTCTTAAATTTTTAATAATTATTTAAAATATTAATAAATATAAATTTAACATTATTGATTCCATAGTGTAAAATTAACATTACTGATTCCCCGTACTTACTACAAGGTCATCCACTAGTATACACATTATGCTTGTAAACGATATCTCTTTTCTCTTGAAACTTCAAAGGTAACATGAATTATGGAAGACGGGACCAGCACCTCATGATCAGTTGATGATTGACACTGTTGAAATAATCATTTGAAACGAAATGTTCAAACGATTTTAATTTTAAAAATATACCATTCAATATTTCAGCAGTTTCATACTACTTACAATGTAACTTATTATTTTTTTTAATTTTTGAATTCTGAAAATAAAACAAAATCAGCTGGTTAGAAAATAATTTGGTTTTTAAAATAACCATATAAAATAACATGTTGTTGGCTATATGTTATTTATTCCCCTTTGAAACTGAAACATAAAACATGTTTTTAAACTCCTGTTTTAAGAAACGATTATTTTGGTATATGTTTGGCATTGATGCTGCTGTTGTGAAAACGGTGCTACTAATGTGTAGCTTGGAGTACCGTTTTCTCAAAAAAATAGTGCCTTTATTTTTGTTTGGAATCGTTGCTCCCAGGTAGGACGTTTCTTGGAGCAACAACAACTTTTTCTGTTTGGTACCATTGCTCCAGGAAACGTTTTAAGCACTGGTCCCATTATCCAGTGCCACATCAGTTTAATATCACTGCCCTGTTGGCAGCATCGAGCTGCAGCTCTAGGAAATGCCAAATTTGGCGTTGCTCCAAGCTATAGCTTCCCGATTTTCGAGATGTGGCTTGGAGAACAATTTTTTATGGAAAAACGGTTCCAAACAAATACCCATTTCCTGGAGCACCATTTTTTCCTATGTGATGCTGTTATTCCAAGAAACGAGAACGATGCCAAACAGCCCCTTGATGGCTTTTGTTTAACAATACATACCCATTCTGTGTTTTCATCCGATTGCTTGTTTAATCATGTCTTCTAGTATTAGATTCTTGTTTCCCCCATTCTAATTAATTAGTTAAGTCCAATGGACTTTGGTGCAAAGGGGCGTGGGCCTCACCTAAATAGGTTGAACACTTGAACACTTTATTGATGGTCTTTAAAACATGTGTATTGTTATTTGAATAAAAAATGAGAAATAAAACATTGCTCCAGAAGGTGTTTTTGTTCTTATGTTTCTGTTTGGTTGCAATGCAAATAAATTTGCACCGATGCAAAATTATGAAAGTACGAACAATTCAAGTGTAAATTCTGACCTATTTTTGTTTCAAATTTTAACTTATTTTGTTTGATTGAAGTACAAATGAAATAAATCTACATGAAACAGAATAAAGTAAAATTCAAAACAAAATTAAATAAGAATTTGCATATTTTTATATTTGCACTCCCATACATTTGTACTAGTGCAAATAAATTTACACTGCAACAAAACACAATCTATTAAGTAGCAATTTCCAAAACAAATGAAAACAAAAGCATTCAAATGACACCCCCTTAATTGCTGAACCATGACACGGCCATTGGAGTTGCTACTTTGAAAAAAAAAATTATCAAATGCTGACAATACCTTGGACTGGAGCCATTGTTAAGTTTGGAATCTCTTTAATATTCCGCTTTCAACAACAAAATTTTCAGCAGTCATCAAATAGTGGTGTTGGTGTGGTACTACTGTAATAGAATTCAAGAAAAGGAGAGCATCGTCTTTATTCGAAACATCTTCTAAATATATCGGAAATGGACGGCCCCTACATCTCTCACTATTTGCAACAGCATACCCACTCTCTCCTTATAAAATCCTCTTCTTTCTTACTTACTATCAGCCCTCTCCCTCTCTCTCTCTCTCTCCCCTTGGTTTTTGTTTTTCTTCAGAAACTAGCCAAAATGGTCGCCAAGAAGCCAAGAATTGTTATCATTGGAGCTGGTATGGCTGGGCTTACAGCTGCTAATCTGCTCTACAAAGCCACAAGATCCAAAGACCTGTTCGAGCTCTGCGTCGTCGAGGGTGGGACTAGAATTGGTGGGAGAATCCATACTTCTGAGTTTGGTGGTGACCGAATTGAAATGGGTGCAACATGGATTCATGGCATTGGTGGGAGTCCTGTTCACAAAATTGCCCAGGAAATCCAGGCCTTGCACTCCGAGCAGCCATGGGAGTGCATGGATGGCTCCTCCCAAGACCCAGTAACCATTGCCGAAGGTGGGTTGGAGCTCGATCCATCTCTCGTCGATACCATTTCCAGTCTTTACCGGAAGATGATGGATTTTGCTCAGGGGAAGTTGATTCAAGCCAACGACGAAGTTGATTATTACAGAATTGCAACCAAGGCTCTCCAAAATTGTAAGCGTAATGGCTGCTTGGCAGAGCTCAGTATTGGCTCTTTTCTTCGGCAGGCCCTTGATGCTTATTGGGCTCTGACAATTGAGGGAGAGGACGATAAAGAGTCCGGTAACTGGAGCCGGAAATTGCTTGAGGAAGCCATCTATGCAATGAATGAAAACACCGAAAGAACTTACACTTCGGCCGATGATCTGTTAAATCTTGACTTCAATGCAGAGAGTGAGTACCGTCAGTTCCCGGATGAAGAGATTACTATTGCTAAGGGATACTTGAGCATTATCGAATCGCTGGCTTCTGTCTTACCCGCTGGAGTGATCCAATTGGGTAGAAAAGTTAAGAAGATCGAATGGAAGCCGCAGGGTCTTCGATCTTCAGAGATAGACAACGGTTGTGACAGTAAGCCTGTGAAGCTGCACTTGGAAGATGGTTCTACCATGTCTGCTGATCATGTCATAGTAACTGTATCCTTGGGGGTGCTGAAAGCTGCAATTCGAGAAGACTCAGGTATGTTTAGTCCTCCCCTTCCCTCTTTCAAGGCGGAAGCAATTTCTAAGCTCGGATTCGGGGTCGTCAACAAGTTGTTTCTTCAACTTGATCATCAAACCCATGATCGACAAAGCGAGAATTCTGAAACATTTCCCTTCTTGCAAATGGTTTTCCACCGGCCTGATTCCGAGTTAAGGCACCGGAAGATCCCATGGTGGATGAGGAGGACAGCCTCTGTCTTCCCAATTTACAACAACTCCAGTGTTCTACTTTCATGGTTCGCGGGGGAAGAAGCTCTGGAGCTTGAGTGTCTCAAAGATGACGAGATTGTCAAAGGAGTTTCAGCCACAATCTCCAGTTTCTTATCAGATTCTCAACCTGGAAAGCAAGCAAATACTCATAAATGCAGCAACGGGCACGTCAACTCCGAGGAGACTTACAAAGCTCTGGGGAAAAAACCAAGTATCAGAAGCGTTCTGAAGAGTCAATGGGGAACCGATCCTTTGTTCATGGGTTCTTACAGTTATGTAGCAGTTGGGTCTAGTGGAAACGATTTTGATTCAATGGCAGAGCCACTGCCGAAAAGCAGCAGCAGCAATTGTGCATGTGCTGCTGCTGCTCCTCCTCCTCCACTTCAAATTCTATTTGCAGGCGAAGCAACACATAGAACCCATTATTCCACTACACATGGAGCTTATTTCAGTGGCATAAGGGAAGCCAATAGGGTGCTTCAACATTATCAGTGTGCTGGATTTTCGGATGCTTTGCACCATTGAAATTTGAAACACTAGAACTAGGATTACAGCTGGGATCTCTCTCTCTCTCTCAAATTCCTCCTACACCTCTTTCTAAGTGCTCTCCATAAAAGTGGGTAATATGGGTAAAAGAGTGAAAACAGAAGGTGGATGGGTACAATTTTTTTTAGAAGCAATATTTGTTTTGGGCTTTCTATTGTTTATTGTGTTTGGAAGTTGTTTTCTGGTTGATATCTTGATCTTCAAAGCAAACTGGGATGAGAATCGAGATTATGCTCTCATTGTATATTGGAAAGACAAAAAGAAAAAGAAGCAACAAGCAAGCTTTGGATCTGCATCTGCATCAGTTCTTTTCTTTAGCTAGTAGTTACCCTCTCCTATTTTCTGTTTGTTCAAATACTTGAGCTTTATTTTAATAAGATTAAATGGACAGGATCCGATAAAGCCGCTTCCTTTCCAGCGAGCCAACTATCAATCCAAGATACCCTATTGGTCACTACTCACTAGTGACAAACAAGTCGGGTCCTCCAGAATTCATGGTCCGGGTCCCACCTGCGATATCCAATCGGGTAATCCTTCACATTTCTATTGTGAAGGATGGCGACATAACAGGTGGTTAGGGTAATCTGGGTGTTTCATATATATTGGTGAAGAGAAATTAGAAATTCTGGGGTGGGACCCATAGAAAATAGAATGAATGAAAATTGAAAGGTCCCATTCCCTTCACTGCAAGACATGCATTGCTAGGCTGTTGGTAGACCGTGCTTATGGCCTACCTACCTTGCCACCACAACTTTTCTCTAACAGCTCAGATGTACTACAGTCTGAATGGCTGTCCACACACTGTTGATCCTTAGTTCGTCACGGAGTCCGCTTCCTCTATACACAACAGATGACTGGGCATCTCACTGTCTTTTAATTTAGGTCAAATATAATCATCATCAATGATCACCAACTTCCCGGTTGACGGATCAGGAGGAATACATCCCAATCCAATGGATACTAATCACTCCCTTTAATTCTATAATAATACAAATAATGAAGAAAAATGTTATGGAAAGCTTTTTATTAGAGATGTGCCGCATTTGTGAAAAATGTTATGTGCCCTAACCACTCCCTTTATAGTGTGTTACTTTACTTGGAAAGCTTTGATCAAATTAAATTTTAAAAATTCTCACAAAAATTTTGTAAAATTTTTTTTGTGAAATATTATCAAGAGTTTTGGGTGCAATTTAACCTTGTGGTGGCGCATTCACTCATATTTACTGCATGTTCAATCCAAATCTCAATCAGTTACTTTTCGTAAAATGAACAAAATATAATTACCATCAAGTTCAACCAATTACATCTTTTGCTGCAAGGCAAGGTGCAACAGATGCAAAAACTTGGAACAAAATTTACCACAATCTGCATTTCTCTCATTTTTATTCCCATGCATTTGTGTTCGTGAATATGAAGTCTGCACTGCAGACAAACTCGGTTTGGAATCAGTATAAATACAAATATGTATAGTGTAAATATATACAAAATATAAGATTCTGTTGTACTCTTTCCAAACTCAGCCTTAGGAGTTAGGAGAGATACAAAGAATAATATCAAGGTACCGTGTCTGCAAATATTGAGTCTAAGTTTTCAAAATGGGAATGGAATCCGCTCAACTAACACGTGTTTTGGGATGTTTTCATTCTCACCCAATCAAATCGCCTTCTCCCAGTTATTTGGTGACAGTCTCTCTCTCTCTCTCTCTCTCTCTCTCAGCATCTTGTGTGAGAGAATGAGACTATATATATCTTCTATTAATGCCTTAGCGTGGGCTTTAAGCATAATATCCTGTATGAATGATTGAGACAAAAAACATAACCTGTCCCCCTTTTGTCCACACCTGGAATCAACAGACCAGCATCCAGCAAAGCTCAAAGCTGATGCTGGTGGTGGTGGAGGATGTCAGTGTCCCCTCTCTCCATTCAAAGTAGGAGAATAGAGTGCAGAGGTGAATCCCCAGATTGAAAATCAATTCATCATGTGACACCCAAACAGGGCCTTAAAAACTTATCAACAAAAATTTGCCCAAGATTCTAAAACCAAGGTGGAAATGCGATGCAATCCAAATGCATCCGCCAAACAATGTTCCATGTGTGCGGTGTAAGATAAACTAGTACCCGATACAAGTCTGTACCGCTGACATAGCTGTCGACATGTATATGCAAATCATGAAGAATCATTGTAGTCCTAGTAAAAACTGTGAATCCCAAAAATCTGGTTCTTCCATCTTTTCCCCATCTCTCTCTCTCTCTCTCTATTATTAATGTATCATTCTCTTTTGCATATGACAATGTAGGGTTAAACCCCCGGGGAAGCATATTTTGGATAGAAGAGGAGAGAGAGAGAGAGCAGTGAGTGGTCAAATCAAAGAGCTGTTCAGGGACGCTCTATTATTGTCATCTTGGCAGAGCCCTGCGGGAGCCAGAGGCAGGGGCAGGGGCAGGGGTAGAGGCAGAGCCACCCCCCAAGACACTGGGAGTGGGGGCCAACCCAAATGCTGTCTCTTACTGCCTCTTTGTGCTCCAATTACCCCCTGATCATTGTTGCATATCAGCAACCAATCTGGCATCACGTCCTTTTCTGATTCAGCACCCTTGTCCTAAAACAAATTTCAAATCAATTAGATTGAAAGAATCTTCTCCTCTGTCCCACCTGCTTTTCCCCACCTACTACTACTGCTTCCATCTCTCCCTGCCCTGCCCTGATCAATCACCTTATGACTTACTTTTTGGCTCCCTCACAGAAAAGAAAATAAAAATATTGGTGTTGCTGCTGCTTGGTACTTACTGCTTACTGGCCATTCAACAACCGAGAGCTTTGGCATGGTAACTTGCCCTAGAGTGGGCTTACCTGACTCACAAACTTCATTGCTAGTGAGGTAAGCCTACTATCATATCACTCTGTATTATACATCTAGTCTTTTATTTTTTTGGGCAGAAGTATGATACATCTACTTGGACTAGGACTCTGCCCTACTTGGTTCAAAGAACAAAAAAAAAAAGCAAGCGAAAGGTATCAGGCATTCCATTGCAAGCATCACCCTGCTTTGTAATCTTAAACACAATATAGGTGGCGCCTACCAGGAAAAAGAGGGGAGGAAAATTTTAAAAGAGAAAAGCATATGTGCCTCACAAAGAAGAGAAGACAGCTGATTTAACCATACCATATCATCGAATAGGTATCAGGCATTCCATTGCAAGCCCTCCTCCAATGAGAAGAACCTATGGCATGTCTCGAAATCGGTGCCAAGGAATCTAGATATCTCCTTATAGATTTCTAGGTCTTGCACTAGGCCATCCCCCGATCTCTGAACTGAGAGTGATGATTGCTCTCTCTCTCTCTCTCATACTCCATGTAGGAAACCATCCTCTTACCTATTACGAAGTCAAATCAATGACATCCACAATAATTCAAAACTTGACATCAATTTTCCTTTTCCTTTTTTTTTCTGTTTTCTTTTCTCTTTTTAAACTTATCCTTCCATCATTCCTGACAAAGAAACTAAATTAGATGGAACGACAAACCAATGGTCAGTAGTGACTGAACCCAAGGTTTATTATTTAATGATCAACTTCACACCTTTTAATGAAGAAAGAAAAAGGATTAGGTATGGAGAAGGGTTAAATATGGTGTATGAGGCGCCCGGCAATTGAAAAATCCAAAACCAGACAGAATGACAATCTTTCAAATTCACTTTTATATAGGCAAGTTAAGTCCCCTATGGCCTTATCAATAAAAAAGAAAAATGTCAAGCTTCCACAACCTCAATAGCAATAAAAGAAGACAGCATCTGTCTGAGACTATGGAGTATGGGGGGTCATCTAAGACCCCGTGTCTAGAGTTGGTGATGACTTTTGGAGTTTAGCATTGGTCACCAGACTTACCACCACTCTTTAATCAGCCCCTTCATTGTTAAAGAGAGATGCCAAATTTCTGAACATGGTATATTAGTATTGGGATTGTAGTAATTGAGACTGGCCTGTTTTCTTCTGAAGGTTGGTTTTTCATGCCATGTCAATATGCAGCCAAAATGTTGTCGTCACAGCGGGAAAACCTAAAGAAATATTATCAAGGCATAGATCTCATAAATAAAAAATGAAAAAAAGCTACCCATAAAGGACGCATGCAGTCAAAAAATCCTGCATCCGTACAAAACTTTGGGCTTCGGGTTTTTGATATATGTACTGCTTAGTGAACCAGGATGAGCGTCAGTCGACAAATGAACGGCCATTAGCTTGTACATGATCTCAGCTTTCCATTTCTTTGCCTGCATCAGTACGGGACATATGGCTAGTGAGTCAGGCTTATAGAATGAAAAAATCGAAAAAGGGTTTCTGTTCACCATTGTTTACCTACCAAAATGAATCTTTCTTTTCTTGTGCTAATAACTCTTCAAACGAGATGTAAGCAAATTCTGCGTCCGTGCTTTCTACTAGCTGGTCAGAAGCAGCCTTCAACTCCATGTGGGCACCAATTTCAAGCATCTTCAAAGGGAGAGAAAGTGAGCTAGACATCAGGAGGATCACAGTCAAGGGTAACTTGGTTTTGACTAGTTGTGTACCCTAAAAGAGAGTGGATGAACAGTACTACGTCTAATCCACTTGTTTAGCACACTGAAAAATGGAATAAGCCAGTCACATCGCACATAAAACTCAATTTAGTGGGTTGTGACTTGTGACGTTTTTTATTGAAGATAAAAAGAAAAGCCTATAATTGACCCATAACGTGCCAACAGAACAAATCTTGCAACCATTCTTTCTTTCTTTGTTTCTTTTTTTTTTGGGTGGGGGGCGGTAGTAGAAAGCCAGTTTTTCAACTAAAAGGCTTTTTTCTTAATAAGCGCTGAAATAAGCATAGAAAGTGGAAGGCAAAAAAGCTAACTTAGAAGAGTCCCATTATGGTACAAAAAATGCATGATACCTAAAAAACTGATAACCAATCAACTGGTAAAATCATCAAAATTCACCTGGGGTTCTCTGATCGGCCAAAGTTCCTCTAGTGTCATACCTTTCCAGCATCATAGAAATTCCAGTTTAAAAACATCTTAAATCCAGGGTATTATATAGGCATATATAAAATTTTAGGGGTAAATTAATCACCCACATGACCTATGCTACATCATTCAGCAAATAAGTGGTGATTTACTGAAATTTTAAATGGGATGCCTAAATTTAGAATATTTTCTGAATTAGCTGCATATTTTGCAGTTATCAAACACCATCCAGAATCAGCTGCAAATTTTGCAGATTAAAGAATCCAAAAGAACAATATGTTCAGCTTGGATGCCAAGTCAACATCCTGTGATTAATCCTCATGGTCTATAGGAAATTCCTTTGAACAGCTCATTCAGTTGGAATCATAGATAAGCCAATGACTTAACTGATGGTCTTGCAAGGGAAGGAGTTGCTACTTGCTAGACATGACCTGCCATGGGGGGCACCACTGTACCAAGGCCAGGGTACACCTACGGGACTCACATATTTCTGCATTTCTACTCATCAGCATTTACTTTTTTGACCAACTTGTATTGGTCCATGCTGTAAGACTCTCTCGTAAGTAGGGGTGTTCCTCTTTATTACATAGATAAAATTCTTTTTGACCAGTGTTGGTAATCCCAAAAGAAAATCTTAAATAACATAAAACAGCTGCAATATACCTTCTTGTAGGCTGGTGAGAGCTTAATCTGCTGTTGGAGCCAATTGTAAACAACCGCATCCTCTTCTAATCTCTTCTGTTCTGCTTCTAGTTTGTGTAACTGCAGATATTGATATATTACATCTTCCAAAAGGCAATGAAAGTTGTGTTTGGATTATGGCAGAAGTGGAAACATGCAGTGGAAAAGGATTCATAGAATATACTTCACCATTTGGCTCTGATTAAAGAGTCAAATGGAATCTCAATATAAGCAGACCTTTAGACACATTTTCTGCCAATTTAGTGGATTTTGTAATCTGCAAGGGGGGCTAATAGTTTCATTTTGACACTTTCCTTTCATTTTAACTTTTCCTCCAGCATTCAACTTCCCACCAATCCAAACACAAGAAAGCATTTGCTGCCTCATCCTAGCAGCCAAAAGTACCAGTAACAAAACTGACCTGTTGACAAAGACGGTCAAACGAAGATCTATCTGCTTTGAATAATAGAGCCTTTGCTATTGTAAACTTCCTTTGGATGATCTCAGATCTGTAAAATAAGAACAGAGACCAGACCATTTTTAGATTTGAGGAACCTATAGGACGGATGATGCAGAAAGACAAACGTCTGGAAGAATTGGATGATATACTTGTGCTTCAATTCATTTCTCACTTCAATCAAGCAATTCACAAATTGACAAACCTGCATAGCAAGTAAAAGTGGCAGGCTAGTTTAATATTAAGTTGGAAGAATACTTCCCTGAAAGGAGAGTAGGAAGAAAAATGTTAGCTAGTCAAATTTTTAGCATTTCAATATGCTCTTTCCATGGTACCTAAGACATGAAAATATCCAATCAAAGCAGCCAAACAAATACTTACAATTACCTATTCTATCAATGCTTATTAGCTAGCATGCCATGTTAGCTTAAGCAATAAAGGGACTAAATTGCAGAATTAAACTCTTTATGGAGATTTAGGGGGGAGAGAGAGAGAGAGAGAGAGAGATCCTATCCAAATTTTAAGAATGCATGCTTGGTTGAGGTTAGAGTCAACCTAGCCAAGTCATACACAACCTGCAGTAGAGAACTACAGATACCAATGGCATCAAAACTTGGACTAGATTAGCTGGCTGCATTAATTAAAAGCATGAAACACTAAAATATAGGCATTTGAAATCTTCCAATAAGATCTCCAGCCACGACCTTCATTGTTTGAATCACAGCAGGGATCTAACTATATAGTCTATTAGCAAGAATTAAGAATCGCACCTAATATTTCCAATAAGGGGCTTACCAACTAACAGGCAAATATAAAGATAATAGCCATTTATAAGAATGATATGCTAAAATGAAAATATGGTATGCATATCTCAAAGTATTAATATACTTAAAATTTGAAACATATATCTAGCCTAGCTCTATTGCTATAGATGGTGCATGATTTTATTAAATAATTAGGGTTCAAGAGAATGAAATTGATTATATAAATTGATTACATGGCAAAAATCTCAACTTCTTTTTCAGAAGAGGTAAAGTATGAATTTCATTAAAAGACAGAATAAAATACCACGTACAACTAGAGGCTGTAATAGGGAGGAAAACATCCAAGAAACTAGGCCACTATTTCAGCATTTACAAAAAGATATACACAATCAAAAAAAGAACTATAAATCAAACAGTTTAATTGAGCTGAGCTGAAGACCAAGAATACAGTTTGCCACAACTATTTGCTACACATTTTTTTTTTACTTGGCTGCCTTTGTTATGAAATATTCGAGAGTTCCTTGCCATACCAACAACCACACTATTCCAGGAATCATTTGCTAAATAACCTTCCCTCTTTTGCTTGAACCTTGTATCTGCCACCCCTTCAAGAAACTATCCACCAACTCAGTACAACCCCCCTTGAAGGCAAACAAGCTGTGTACTTCCACCCAGATGTTATAAGAGAACTCACAGTGTAATAACTGGTGGTCAACAGACTCATCCATCCTGTTACAGAGGACACACACTGGTGAGTTGACTGCCACACCTCTAATCAAGAGATTACCTTTAGTCAGAATCTTATTGAGGTAGGCAGACCAGATGGAAGAAATCAATTTTTGAAGGAATGAATTTGCACCAGATTAGATCCATAGGGAACTCCTGATTTTCTTCTCTAGTCATCTTGTTATAAAAGGAGCTCACAGAAAACTGCTTATTCTTCCCACCCAGACAAACTCTTTTATCCTCACTAGTATGGTCAATATGGCTACAATAAAGCTTTTACAACAAATGAGCAAAATGATCAATCTCTAGTCATTTAAAGCTCTTCTAAAGATGGGATTCCAGACACAAGTTCCATTTGAAATCTGCATATACTCAGCTACTTTTGCTTCCTTATCCACTGCTATTGCAAACAATTCAGGAAAATCATCTTTCAAAAGGCTACCTCCACACCAGCAATCCTTCCAGAACCTGACCTTGGTTCCTTTCCCCACCTCAAAACTGATTTCCTTACTGAAAAGACTAGCTTTTCTCTTTCCTTTTCCACACCAAACATCCACACGGCTGAATTGCTTCACCTGTACCCCAACCCCACTTCTTAGGGCCCATTCTTTTTTTGGATTTTGAGAGGGGGGAAAGTTGGTCAAGGGATTTTGGTTCTCATTGACCAAGACACCCATGTTCTTTTTTCAGATTTATGTGGGGCCCATAGAAAAATTGTTTTCCCTGGGTATCACTTACTGGAGTAAGTGATACCCATCTCCCAGGTGGGTAAGTAACTTTCCCACCTGGGGGGGAAGTAGCCAACACTTGGATGGGACAAAACTGCCACTTTTAATAATAGCTTTTTATGGATAAAATGGTCATTTCCTTATTTTCCTAGGAAATAAAAGAACATGGGTAAATGCACTTACCCGGGTAAATAAATTCCCAATAAGCGAGCGGGGCCTTAGAGCATATTTTGCTTTTATTACTCTTCTCCACAGGCTGTTTTCTTTTCTGACCAAATCTCCAAAACCATTTGCGAGGAGGGCAATGTTTAAATCTCTCAGTCTTCTGATTCCTAACCCTTGATTTTTATTATGCTTACATACCCTTCCCTGTTTACTAGATGAATCTTCTTATCCTCCTTCCATCCCTTCCATAAGAACTCCCTTTGTTTCTTTTCAATGGAGGGGGGCTGCCATCCCGGCTAGAATTAGGTATATGGGCAGTAAAGTGGCGTTCGCTAGCATTGAATCGACCTCCGAATGCTGAAAATGTTGCTTTTTCAGCGGTTGGAGGTCGTTTAGTTCTACCTCTGAAGCATCCCTCCAAATACTGAAAAACCCTTGGAATAATTCAGCAATTGAACTACCTCCACACCCTTGTCGCCTAGTCGCCTAGGCAATGGATTTTTTCAAATAAAATATGTATCCTAGGGTAGTTCCCTAGGTTCCATAATCATATATCCTTAATAATTATCCATAATTTTCATGAGAAAAGTATAAACTTCTATAGAAAATCAACAAATTCCAACATATTCATGAGAAAAAAAGAAGAAAGAAAAGAAATTTCAAAAAATATAAGGGCTGAACCTCTATTTCTGTTATAGGAAAAGAAGAAAAGAAAAGGTGGAAGAAGAAAATTGGTATATAGTATAGACACACAAAATTAGTAAAGAAAAAGAAGTAAATGTGTTGGTTAGGCAACATTTTAAGTTCTTCCTTACTTATTGGTTCAGGTTTTGAAGTCTTTCAGGGTTCAATACAGCATTTAGCAATGTTTGTGTGGATTAAACCCTAACAAATAAGAAAATAATAAAAAGAAATTAGTATATAAACACACAAGATGAATATTTTAGTTTAAAAATGTCTATTTTAAAATTATAACCTCAAAAAATTAAGAATATAAAAGTTTTGTCTAACACACTAGAAAACTGCTTGGCGATTAGGCGAGGCAAGCCTCCAAGGGCACCTTGTCGCCTAGGTGCCACCTTGACAACTATGTTACGAGTGTGTCCAAAGGTAGTGGATGAAATCTCACTTCCGACCATGTCCTTCTATAAATTTTAAAAACCCAAAATTGGTCGTCTTCCTCCACCCTTCCGTAACCAAAAAATGTTGAAAACTTCACACCCCTGTTACGGTTCTCATCTTTGTGTCATCATCATTGTGCTCCTCTCAGTCTGAATTCTCTACAGTCGACTCAACTTTGATTGATGGTCCCAAGTACACCCATTCTTCTCTTCAAGACTAGGATGGGAGATCCTTCTGTTCCAAATCTAGATTTCTCACAAGATTCCTCCAACGAACTTGATGAACTCGTTGTCAATCCATTACCAGAAGATGTAGACGGTAATGGTTCCAGTAACAGAAATGATGATCGGATTGATGAGCTAGATGTTGTAGAAGAAGAGAGAGATGATCAGTCTAAGGTTTTGAATGAAGAGGAGATCCTAAGAGAAGTGGATGAAGAGGAATCAGAGTCTAACGGTGTGGTTGGAATACAAATAAGAGGTCTGGTTATTATTGGGACCATGTTCTACGAGTGACAGAGGCAGGCGTTTGATAGGTGTTCTATTGATGAACAATTGACAATTATTCTGGTTCTACTTTTGATCTGGATTCAGAGGATCGAAGTAAGAAAATTAGCTTTATTTCCGGCAGTTAGAGGAGACACATTGTTGAAGATGGATTGAAGATGCATTGTTGTTGAATACTAGTGATAGAGGAGATAAGCTTACGTTTGAACACATTATTGTTGAAGACGGGTGACAGAGGAGATAAGCTTACAGGTTGAAGATGCATTGTTGTTGAAGACAGGTAACAGAGGAGATAAACTTACGGGTTGAAGACGAGTAACAAAATAGACAAGCTTATGCAGAAAGTAAGTGAAATGAGCTTAAGATTACCTTTGGTGTAACAAAACCATTGAAAATTTTGGAGAAGCAAAGAAGCCCCATGATTCTGAAGTGATCAGAGATGGTAATGACTCTTCTACTAGGAAGAGGAGTAATTTAATATTATTTATTAATTATTTTAATTTATCATTTCTTAAAATTTTATGTTTTTATTACTTTATAATTTTTTCTATAATATCATATTCTTTTAATCATTTTATTTATTGTTAGTTAAATAAAAGTTCAAGGGGTAAATTTGTAAAATGCATATTTAATCAGACGTCACAGCATTCAGATTATCGAACAACTTCACTACAATCAGATGCTTGTAAAAGCAAAAAAACAAATTTCTCATGGATTGCTTTCAGAGATTTTTTTACTTTCTAGACTCCAGACTTCAGATTTACCGAACACCACCTAAGTAGACTAGGATAGAAGTCAACGCACTTTTAACTAATTTGAGTTTACCCCTTTTTGATAATCCACTGTGCCAATTTCTTATACACCCTCTCTACTATAGGCTCCCAAACAGATTTTGCATTGCATTTTGCCCCTAGAGGCATGCCCAAATATTTGATGGGCAGCTTCCCCACCTTGAAACCCCAACAATCTGCCCAACTTAGAAAATCCCCCACCTCTTCCACTTCTATGAATATTTAGGTGCAGCCCTGAGACTACTTCAAACCACCATAAGGTTGCCATCAAATACTCTAATTGCTTGCTAGAAGCATCACAGAAAAACACTGAATCATCATCAAACTGAAGGAGAGGAATCTCTAATATTTCCTCCCCCACTGTGAAACCCTCCAAAAAACCACCCCTAACTGCTCTGAAGAC